GCAGGATCATAGTTTAACAGAAAAGGAACTGCCACAGGAGCAGCCGTGATCAGCTTGTGGGTTCTTGAGCACTTGGAAGGTGGAGCGAATAAGCTCCTGACTGAAGTCCACCGTGGATCCTTTCACAAATTCCAGGCTCTCCTGGTCCACAATAACGCCAACTCCTCCTTTCTCAAACACTCTGAAATCACAGCAGTGGCACAGCTGATAAAAAGCCCATAAGGAAACAACAACAAGGAACATGTATCACTAGATTATGCAATAAGGAAATCTTGATTCGGGGTTGTTTACCTGTCGTCCTCGTTCTTCTTTCTGTCAACCGAAAACTTGTACTGAAACCCGGAGCAGCCTCCTCCCTCCACATATATTCTCAGGTACTCGCCCTTTTCCGTGATCTCCCCTAGTCTCTGTATTAAATAAGCATATTAGATATAACACATGAAGTACACATACTCATTTATCAAAACAGAGAGTGAATGATAACCAATTTTAGCCAGCTGGGGTCTTCCTGTGTGGAGCATTTTCCCACTAAACAATTTGGAAATAGAATATTTAGCAGAAAGATCAAAATGATAAAAACACTGATATCTATTTCTGAATTAAAAGGCATCATAAGGAATGTGGTGAAAAAGATGTGATTGTCTTTCCTGAGCTGCTGCCACTGCTTTTTGTTCTGGGTATTTGTGTATTTTACATTACATGTGCTGTTGCTGCATTTCTGATATGTTAGGTGTTTGTATGGCTGTTAGCTCATAAAAAGGGTTAGATCTAAAAGCACATGGGAGTTCCTGGTAGAATAAAAGTAAGTTTGAAGGAAGGAAAACATTTTTTTTAATTAAGCCTCTCAATGTGTAAAAAGTGTCTGCAGTTTTCTGATGCTGGTGTTTGAAAGTTTGAGATCAACTGTATCTCGTTGTCCATGAGCTAATTATTGTATACAGTATATTAGTGTGTAGCTCTGTATTCAAACATATGTTCTCTGATTGGTACAGACCTGGAGTTTTTCAGGGTGGGCCTACAACCTTAGCTTTGAAAACTCAAGTTTAAATGCATTTTGATCTGAATAACTTTTCACCTTGATGAACTCTATTGGTAAACTTCAGAATCAGAATCAATCAGAATCAGAATACTTTATTAATCCCGAAGGAAACTTGATTTCTTGATGATTTTTTTTTAAATTGTGTGTGTTTTAGTATTTACAAAAATTAAACACTAGAAAAACTGACAGTGTCATGGCGTCCCCAAACAACAGGGATAAATAAGCTCAGTCTAATTGGTCTCTAAAGGAGTCAAACTCTTAGCCTGAATTATGGTGACTTGGTATTTCAGCTTTTGAGGTTTTAGCAGAAAACAGCAGTTTAAGAGTGTGTCCTAACCTTCACGCATGACTCAGTGAGGTGTACTTCAGATGAACCTGACACCCCTGGCTTCTCCTGGGTGGAGGCGCTGCTGTAGCACCGAAGCCCGGCTACATACAGCGACTGGGAGTTGTGAGGAAGACGGTGTAATTGCTCAGTCACGTTGAGGATGTTTGGGAGAGTGGATGCCCTGCAAAACAACAGATCACACTTGCAGCGTTGCTAACAAGCCTTCTAGCTCGTTAGCATAACGTTACTTATTGGTAGCATTGAAGGCTAACCTGCTAGCTAGCTAGCAGTAGCTACATTTTTTACACAATCAGGACTTTATTAGTTATTACTTTTTTTAGAGAGACGTTTAATATGTCCTGCAATTTGTGAGAAATTAACTTTACCTAGCGAGAGTCAATAATCTTGACTTCGACGCAGATATCATTGCTCCTCTCACGAAGGACATCTTCCATAACAGATGTTGCTAAACCCCGCCCCTACATCGACGTATATTATCGTGCCCATGTTAGCCATTTGATTCGTTGTACTAGCTGCCAATCATGACTCTTTGGGTATTCGATACCTTAGTTATGGCTTGCAGGCATATCTCTTCTCAGCTCTTTGTAGGTGGAGCTTAGAGAGAATTTGTGCGTTTCACGTCTGATGTTTTGATCCTCCAATTACAAGGCAGGAGGCGGGGTATTAAGAAGGGGTTAGGTTCCTGACAGGCTCACCGTCGGGTGGAGGACACGCCAGGAGCCTTTTAAACACGCGCCGCCTCTCGTAGCTGACAGTGCAGGAAGAAAGGTGGTAGCTCTTACGACGTCGTCAGCTAAAGGTATAATTTATAGAGTTTATATCGTGGTTGTCAACAAAAATTATACGTTTTATTTTGCAATTTTACCAATTTTCCATCAAGTTTAAGTAAATGTCGTTGTTATTAAGCTTTGTACTCAGTGCTGTACTAGGGACGTCCGCGGGACGAGCAAACAAGTCATCTGACTCAAACATTGACTGCGGGGACTGAGTTTGTTTTCCTGTGGAGTAAAGATTTTTTTTTGTTCCTTAGGCTCACACACAGCAAAGGGGAAAACATGGACGCCCGGACCAGTTTCATTGTGTTGTGCTTGATTGGATTCAGCTGCGCGGAAACGGTGAAATTTTTAGATTGCGGTAAGTTACGAGTCACGCTGATGGTGATGATTCACTTCTCCATTTAAATGCTAACTAAGAGACTAATTTTAACCCGTGTGATCCGTCGAAACTGTTGAATGTGCGATTAATGCACTTGTTTGTTAAACTTATTGAATCTCTTTAATCGGTTTCGTAGACTAGTTTTCTGTCACTTATAGTCTTGGATATTTTAATTATTTTTGATTTTCGTCCTTCAGTTCAGATTCCAGGATGGGTCTGCATGATTCAGCTTAAGTCATGTGTTTTTGTAATATGAGTGGTATTTGTCAGGAACAAGACTCAAGCAATTCAAAACTGGTATTGGAGTGCAAGTAGATGACTCATAGATGTCTCTAACATGTACCAGTGCTTCCTCATGCTGCTGACAGGAAAGCTGACTGACAGAATTGTGCACTTTGTTTTTTAAGTTCACTATATGCTTTCAAGTTATTCAACCTGTCCTCCTCCACCACGCTTAAACAGAGGTAGCACCGTTCACGCCTAGATCTACATGCACACACATCCCTACATGTCCATAATATAAACAGCCACACAAGCTCTTCTTATATATTGTGAACAACATTTACCACAAAATAGTGAGGCTTTGGTGATCTAACCAGATGCCACCCTGAATATGACCTAGACCTGTATTTGTCTTGCAAAAGCATGAATCTGGTGGTTTAGTTGCACTTTGCGATGAGTTCACTTCAATTTTAAAAAACTGTTTTTTTTTTTTATAAGGCAGAACTGTAAGCATGCACACTATGAAATCCCTCCAATCCTGTTTTGTTTTTGTCTCTCTTCAGGCTCTGTTTCTGGGAAAGTGGTGACGGTTGAAATCACCCCTTGTCCCAGTCAGCCCTGCAAGCTAAAAAGGGGAGACTCCTACACAGTCAATGTGACATTCGCCTCCAGTGAGTGAGCCCCATCTTTTAGAAATGTTTCTCCCAACGTCCAGAATATAAATGCATTTCTTTTACAACTAAAGCTTTAATCACATTGTCATGTTTGCTTCAAGCTGTGCCGAGCCAGGCGAGCACTGCAGTGGTTCACGGCGTCATCGCTGGCGTTCCTATCCCCTTCGCTATTCCGATTGTAGACGGCTGCAAATCTGGAATTGAGTGTCCCATCCAGAATGGGCAGACTTATCACTATGTGGCTACATTACCTGTAAAGGACGAGTATCCAGCTGTAAGTAGTTCATGCCACCCTGGCAACAGTCGTTTGCTCCTCGATACTGGTCATTATCAGTTTCTTTCCTGTCTGCAGGCTGTTGTAATGTGACAAATCTGCATTTAAAGGTCTCTTATGGTTTTATTCTATGGAGATTTAAACAGTAATTGACTCCTTCAGGTCATGGCAAACTGTTAGCTGGGAAAATGTGTGCAAGCATGACTATAGTCTCTAATATTCCATCATGATTTTGTTAATGTGTACGACTAGTTTTGCTTTAAGTTTTCAGCCTGTATCAGTAATTCTGGACTCTGCTCTTGTACCCTTTATTTCTCTTTTCATTGACATCGAACATGCACTCTGTTCACTGGCTACTTTTTTCTTTTTCTTTTTTTTTTTCCCCCTCCAGCTCAAGCTGGTTGTGGAGTGGGAGCTACGAGATGACAACACGAAGGATCTCTTCTGCATCAAGTTTCCAGTTGAGCTTGTGTAACAAACAAGTAAATGCCTCTGAAAGGGAACTAGTTTTGACAAGTGTTCTACTAACATTGAAAGATCTTGTTTTATATCGATCAAACTGATTTTTAAGTGTTCACTAGTTTGCAAGACTTTATCGCACATCTAAAATTCTGCTGAAATTAGAGGCTTTTGTTTCTTCTCCCCACGGTCTTCCTAATAATCAAATTACGAGTTGTGGATGTGTGATTGACCCTGAACTACATTCCACTGCTGTGGAACCATCTTGTCTTACTGGCTGCTGTGTAGTCAGAAGGTACATGCTGTACTGAGCTTTACTATGAATTTTGTAATATTTCTTGTTGACCATGTGCAGCAAGATTTAAGGAAGTGAATTGTTAAAGAAAATTGTAATGAGCTCTAAATGTGTGCCCAAATGGCATTTTCGTTACATGAATGTGTGTTTTCAATAAAACTAACTTTGTCAAACACCTAAGGCCTGTATTTTAATATTCAGGGTATCCTTCCATCATCTGGGTTCACTTACCCGAGCACTGTCACAAAAGCCCAGGATTTACCATAAGTGACTGTAGAAAGCTTGGTTCATATGAAAGGCTTGACACTGGCAGCATCTGACCAATAAGGACTAAAATGTCAACAGCACAACAGCTGATTTCTTTAAAAAAAAAAAAAAAAGGAACATGAAACTTTACTATAGGGGAACTGAGGTTAAACATAAAAGCAAGAAAACGGTAGTATGAGTGTGTAAGAGGAAGAGCTTTGTAGAGTGTTATAGTTGGATGTTCAAGAATTGATTCATATTTCATTAAATTGTTTAACGACTTTCCCTTTTTTTTTTAATTTTATTTTTTTAATATAATGCTCTGAGTTAGAGTAAATATAAAAGTGTTCGCAGTCAAAGTACAAATAAGGCAGCAGGTTTTATAATGTATTGGGACTTTATAGAATTTGTTTTTTGCAGCCAACAGAGGGGGGGACAAAAACCAAAACAACAGCAAGGAATAGTCACAGAAACGCTGACATGACACACTACTGAAAAACTTTCAGCCCTCATAATCTGCACGCAGGCCTGAGGAGGAATCTTCAAGGAATGGTGATGCTGTTTTCTGGCATCATTAGGTGGTGATTTCATACCTGCTGATCGCTATTCTGAGAAACTACCCTGCTCTGCAGAATAAGTTGCCATGGCAAAACAAGAAGTGAGCCAGACTTCTGGATAAGAAAAAAACCTGTTTTGTAGTTCAGGCATCTGGTTACCCGTCGGGGAACTTCCATAACAACTTGTATAATAAAGTTATATAGTCAGACTGGTACGAGGCAATTGCTTTTATTTATTTCCTTTTATTTCTTTTGGCTCAACCTTTTTTGGTGTCATCAGGTCTAATCAGGCAGCTCGGAAAACACATTCTTCAAATGAGGAATGAAACTACACTAATAAAAAACCAATAAGGGGAAGCTCAATCATCACAGTTTAATGCAGTTAAACTTCCGAGATATCAGTCTGTGCAGTAAGGAAATGTAAACTGTTGTGACTCCATTTCACCTGCCTTGGTACAAATGAAAGTGACAAAAGGTGCACTGCCGAGGCAACAAGACCACCTTCAAGAAGGGAGCCAGCCAGTGGCAGCCACAGGTCATCGCTCTCTCCTGATTCCTCTTGACAAATTTTCTAGTTTTGCTTCCCCCCCCCCCATGTCCTTGTCATTGCTGATAACATTAGACCATATCTGCAGCCCTCGCAGGTTACACGTCAAGTTAAGCTTCTCCTGGTTGGCACATTTGGAAGAGTGTGGAAAAGATACCAAGGGACATGCCATTAAATGAAGAGAGCTGGATAGGGCTATAGAAAGGTATTGACTCAACAGTCTGATTTTGACAGTGGTGAAAAACATGTTTGTGAGTATCCTGCTCTGGGTCATTTTGTAGGGCTCTGGCAGAGCTTCTGTTCAACCTCACTCAAAGGAGCAGATGCTGCTCCTGCTGCTGGGCTGATGCCCATCCAGGGGAGACTCTCCTTGTGTCTCCTTGTATCTTCTCCCCATATTACCCTGTGCAACTCCATAATTAACCTTTGTGTGTGAAGAGAATTTTCGATTTACAAGAACCAATTGGAGCATGTTATATAGATAACACAGGCTCTGATAGCTGTAATAAAATGTTATGTTCAGCAGTATTGAACGCTGCACTGAGTTCCTCTCCACCTTACGAGTTATTTGCTTTAAGGTGCGTGTTTCTGAGTTTTACCAGGGATTCAAGTACTTCTGATTTGGGCCTTTTTCAGAGAAGCTACAGTATCCAGAGTCGTACACAGTGAAGTTGTAATACTATTAACAAGATAATCAATGTTGTTTTACTGTTCTGTTTTTGAAACAGAAAATTAAACCATCTTTTTGAGTGGTTGGATGTTTTTAATTGGATCTATAAAAAAATGACTGCCCGGATAAAGGTTTTTATGCTGGCTTTAAAACTGAAAACCATGACAAGGCAGAGATGTGCGAAGTTTCCCACTAGCTCCTTGGGAATTACCTTGTTGGTGCAAAAACCCTCACTCATGTCTGGCAAAGCAAATTATGTGTTTTTCTGACAGGCTGTAAGTAACAAAGTCCATAAAGATACAATTTAAATTTGGTTCTTTGCCAATGTCTGTTGGGGTAGTTAGTTGCCTTTTTATGGTTGAATGACTCATGCGTAAAAGAATAAATAATTTTAAATAATCCCTCTGAAAATGGTCAAGTAAAAGGACCAGATTAAAAATGAGGGGAAAAAGCAGCCAATGTAAAGAAAAACTTGCCTGGAGCCTTGAGAACTATTGTACAAGACCACTTTAAAAAAAGGAAGAAAGTCTGTCTCCTTGGAAGCACAGTATAAAGAAGAAAGGGGTGACTCAAGAGTTTTGCACAGTTCTATTGTAAAATAAATGTAAAAATAGAAAAAACTAAATCTATAAACTGCTGGTCATGAGACAAACTCAAAAACTGCATACTTCAGAAATTTTATTGGTCTGAACAAAGGCCAGAAGCAAGGAATGACAGTATGAATGCACAGATGTAAAGAGTCTGTAGATTTGATAATACTGATGAAGAAGTTTAACCAGGTCACATGCAGAGAAAACCAGCGTTTTAAAGCAGCTCTGGAAATCCTCGCTGAGCGTTAACACAGGCTGTGCAGTTTGATAAAAAGACCAAAAGGTTTGAACAGCGAAATATCTTCAAGCCTTTCACTTTTACAGCTAAGTCTGAAATGCAATGAATTGTGCAGTATGCAAGAAAAACCCCCAAAGCAGAATAATAAAACACAACTTGATGAGTTAGTAGATACTCAAATTACAATGTAGTTAGAGCTGTTAAAATAAGTGCTGTCCCTGACCTAGTTAGATATATATATATATATGGAAAATGAGATTAAGGCAGTATATGCTTGGAACAAAAACAGTTTCAGCACTTTCACAGCTGAATAAAAGCTAGTTGAGCATATCTGAGCATCAGGTCACAGGTTTAGTGCAAGCAGGGCACGGGGGGTAAACAGGACCGGTATTAACGTAGCTCGCTGCTTCTGTCTCTTGACATTTCAAAGGACCACAAACTTTGCAGAATTCTTAAACAATGTGTGGCGTTACAGATTTTTTGAAAACACAAAAGCTGCAGTCTTTCCACAGTAAAGTCAACAACACTATCGCCACAGAGCCCTATACAGCCAGCCCATACCAGCCACTAAACCTAAGGAAATAACATGAAGTAATTCAATGGCATGAAACTTAGAACAAAAGCAGTCGTAGTTGGGTATCCCTTATTGAATGGGAGCTAAGCAGTTGGATATCACATAACCGGATAAAGTATATGAACAAACTTAGTGTTGGCTCATACTCAAACACTGCCGTCATCATCAACCCCCGTGTCACGTGTACAATGTATGCAGCATCTTGGTCCTTTTCATTGTCCGTTTTGTTTCAGCCTCTCCAGCCGCTGGAGCAAAGCATTCCCAAAGGCTTCTCTGTAACCCGGACTGAGCGTGTCTAGGAGCGAGTAAACAGTCTCGTGATACTGAGTCGTCAAATTCTCGTCCACTTGATCAAATGCGTAGCCCACCACCTGTTTGGGAAGAAATCAGTGATTTACTGTAAAACCTCTGCACGGGTTGGAGTCTTAAAAGTGAACGCACGTGGGTAACGTGTCACTGCATCGTCTCACCCTCAGCCCAGCCTCGGTGAGCTCCAGACAGTAACGGTTTCCCTCTCTTGTTTCCACATTTATGTAGGCCACGTCGGACGCGCTGTTGAGACTTTGTGACACGTGCATTTCAGACACAGCAAAGAGGACGTCGTTGACCACTGCTTCAGCCTCTAGTCTCATGTCCTTGACATCTCCGAGCTCAACAGACTCTTCATCAAAAGCAGAGACCATGGACTCCTCAGCCTGGCAGTCTACCTCCATCCCCTATAACACGTTAAAACAACAGCATTGGTTGATTCAAGTGTGATGGGCATAAAAATTGAAAAATGGTGGTTTTTAGAGGTTACATTCAAGATTTTTGAGAAGATTAATTAGTTTCAGACTATGCTAACAAAAAGACATTTAAAAAAAAAGACATTGAATAAAATCAGAATTCTAGAATTAATCATTTGATATCATTGTGAATTGAATATCTTAAGGGCCTAACCTAAACTGCTAACCAAGATTTTGACCCGTGAGGATCTCTTTTGCATTTCAAAATACCAGAATAGTTTAATTTAACAAAAAGAAAAAAACTAAACAATCATAATGAACAAAGGAAAAAAAGGCTTTAAAAAAGGAAACGGGATGCTAATTTATAAACAAAAATTCCAGTCACATAAATGGGATGAAATATGCAGTGAAGCATAAACTCAAACTCACGGAGAGAAGTCAAAACGCCCAAGGTATCCGAAATATCTTCTGAAGTAAATGAGGTACACAAACTGGGACTCACTGGTCACGTCCAAAATTAGATACATAGTTCACCAAAAATGTTGTAAAAGGGACAAAGTTTGCATTGCTCAGGTGAATTCCAGCAGGTTTTGAAGGATTAGCTAGTAAACGTCTATTATTAATTTTTTTGACAGCAGCAATTAAACGCATCATGATTATAAAGTTAAAACTAGATCTGCCAACATACCATATGGGGAATCTATCTGATCAAAAAATAACCTTAAGATCCTAGAAAGATTTATTTATCTAATGATAGAGCCATATTTCTATGATATTTAAACAATGAAGCCAGTATGTGCCAAATCTGTGTTTAGCTGTTAGCATGCAACCTTCATTTCACGTATCCGTCTCTGTGCTTTGGCCCCCAGTTTTTGTGTCTTTATCTGATTATTAAAAACAGTCTGTCATTGGTGGAATCTGTACAAGCTGCTTAGGTGTTAATAAAAAATTAAGTTCTAAAGAAAAACAACCTCTTTATACAGGATATGACTAAACCAAAGCCAAGCCTGATCATGAGCTGGTGGATGTTAAAAGGTTAAGAGATGCCTAGTCTTAAAATTCAGTTTGGTTGGTTTTAGACTTTAAGACTTTTTTAGGAAACACAAAGCTGACCATCCACCCATTTTCTTCTACTTATCCAACTCAGGGTCACAATGGGACTGGGGCATGTCCCTGCATAGGGTGAGAGGCAGGTTACACCCCGGACAGGTCACCAGGGCTACAGACAAAAACACATCTGTGTGTGTCACATCTGATCTTCCTGTGACAGTGTATCTCACCATGTCTAAAGCAGAAGTGAAACATGAGGATCTGACGTGTTTGTTTAAAAAAAAATGCAAAGTAGACTATTTTGAATATTTAGCATCCTGTAGGAGCTGACTGTGTGACTAAAGGTTAAACCTGTATTTTTTGGAGCAACCACTGGACAATTTTAAATGTTTGCTTCACTTCCAGAGTTCAATACAGCTCCTCTGAGAAGGAAAACATTGCACCAGACACGTATCTGAAGGGGATTTCTCAATCTGTTGTCAGCTGAGGGAACTTTAAAACACTCCCTCGACACAAGAATGGTTGTGTTGCTCCCGGCAACACAAAACAGCAAATTTTGATTGATGGTGGTGTCAGTGTTTCCCAGTGCTCAACTGGACAGATTTACAAACTTTTACAGGCTTTTATTTTAATTTTCAAATTTGACTGAAAGCTGATACCGTACCATACGAATCAGTAAAAACTACTCAACGTATCACGTGTTCGACTTGCTCCGTGGCAACAGGTATTTGTTGCGCAAGTTCGGTTTTGTCACACCACGTTTACGTCAAGCTGCATAACATTAGACGCTTTTTTTCCTGCATATCTTGCTGTCTCGTGGTTCCTAACTGGTTTTTCATCATTCACACGGGTGGCTTGATGCCTGTATGGAAAGCAGCCTTGACCTAATCCATACCTTCGATGTTAAAAACACAGAGAATGATTTTTATGGGATGAGAAAGTAGAATAATGGACATTAAATACCATTCTTGAACCAGGAAGAGTACAGTTTTTTAGTTTTCTGCTAACCAAAATGTTTTAAGACTAGGTTTTTGGCAAAATATCTTATAAACCTTAGATTATAAGGTTTATCCACCAAACCACTGAGGTAGTAAAAATGCTAGTGATTAAAAATTATTGGAATAAATTCTAATTGTGTACAAACAAATTAGTGTATAGTCCTATTTGCTTATAAAAAAAATGTCTACAGATGTCTACAGCCACTCCTCATTTTTCAACAGTTTGCCAGAAAAATGGGAAGGTGGAGTGATTAATTGAAACATGTGCAAAGACACATGGAAATGCAGTATATAAGGTGAAAAGAAGTTTGAAAGTCAATATTTTTTTGTAATTTCTTTAAGTAGTAGAACAGGCTTCTTAAAGGGCATTTAAAGATTTTCTCTCTATGTTGGCTGCCTTTTGTTCTACTCTCTGTCGAGATGATCCCAAAATGCTTCAATTATGTTGAGGTCCTCTCTGGGGAGGCCAATCCTTCACTGACAGTCTTGTAATCGTATGTTTTTCTATTCAGGTACGCTTTTACTTCATTGGCAGTGTGTTTGGGATCACTGCCATGCTAAAAAAAATGAATCTGTTAAAAAGCTAGTAGACCAAAATCTGCAAGTACTTTTCTGTGTTCATAATTTCATGTATTTTGACAAGATCCACAACACCACTGGCTGAAATGCACCCCCCAAACCATGACAGAGCCTCCACAGTGTTTCACAGATGGCTGTAGATACTCACTGCTGTCCTTCTCTGATTTAAACTATCATACCTCAGCAGTTTTCACTGTTTGCCTTCCTTAAGAATGGCCTCTCGACAGCCACACTTCCACTGAGATAATTTCTGATGACTATGTGTTTTCCTGACAGACTGCTAGCAGCAAAGAGCCTCAAGATACAATTTAAAATTGGTTCTTTGCCAAGTCATTTGTTACATGCAGCCAGTTATGTCTGCTCTTTAGTTAGTTCATACCTTGAATTATGTGCATTATTATGGTTGAATGATTTCAGAGTCAGTGTGAAATGGTTTAGTAAAGAAAGAAAGAAAGAAAGAAAGAAAGAAAGAAAGAAAGAAAGAAAGAGCAGCCAAGTGTCAAAAGAAAAATCTGCCTGCAGGCTGAAGATTTTTTGTTCAAGACCACTTTAAAAAAGGAAGAAGGTCTGTCTCCTTGGAATCAAAATATGAGAAAATGAGGGTGACACACGACTTTTGCACACTACTGTAATATAATTAATGTAAAAATAGCATAACATAGAAAAGATCAAATACAAAGAACTTAGAAATTTAAGTGGTGGTCATGAGACATACTCGAAAACTGCTTACTTCAGAAATTGTATTGGTCGGAACAAAGGCCAGCAGCAAGGAATGACAGTATGCATGCACCACAAAGACTTTTAGAAAGCCTGGAAAACTGTTGCTCAAGAAAACTTTAGAGAAACACAGAAAACTCTGAATAAAAAGAATCTGAATGAATGCCAACGGAGACATGCCAAACTGTGTTTCATTGTTATTGTAACAGTTACAATAAAGATCTATTCTATTCTTTTGCATTAAATATAAGTCACTGTTTAAAGCGAAAGCACCAACATAAAAGCAAAAAAATAAAACAAAACGTGCACCATCAGCATCTTGTCCTGTTATATAGCCATTATAAAGCGTTCTACTTTCCATTATATGATAATTACTGTTGCACCACAGTGTGTGGTATTTGATTGTAGTAATAAAAGCAATGTAACAGCGACATCTCGAGGACTGTGAGTAACCTTACCTTATTGCTAGCTGTGCTCTGTCCACAAACAAACATCATAGTCAGTGGTAATGAATAAGTGTGCGAATTTAAAGCAGCTATTATAAATAAAGTCCGATCAGCTGTGGCTAATTTAAACAGCTAACAGTTGCTACGTTTTGGGGGAAACTCGTAACTGAACCACTGCCCGCCATACCATACTTCTGCCACTTTCTTTAAAATTATACAGCGAGTTCTAGCTTAGACCCTAACTGATGGGTTTACTCAGATCACGAAAAAAAAAATATTTCTAACTAAAGTGCGTTTATTTTTCTCACCTCCTCGCAAGCGGTGTTCTTCCGGCTTGTGGAAGCTTCCAGCTCTCCGTGGGCAGGACAGTCCAATCAGCGCCACCTCACGTTAAGCTGCTATCTTTTGTTAGTCTAATTTATTCACAGCCAGATAAAAGCACATAGACCGACGCTGTCTTTCTTTTTTCAGCGTATTATATTTATGTTAAAGTATATTAAACCTTGGCCCACTAAGTGCCCGGTGGACTACACAGCTCCGCCATGTTATGACATCACTGCCTAATCCCACCCCTGTGCGTGTAGTTGGTGCGGAGTCATGAAAGTGTTTGTAAACAACTCAGTCAGAAGGTAACTTAACAGCTCTACTAATATCCTCAATTTTTTTAAATTATCCCACGCGTGACTGCTTATAGAATCAGTGTGTATTTAAGCAGCGCTTTGGTCAGTTTGCATCTGACGTGTGAGGGTAGATATCTTTAGTTAGTGTTGGGTTTTAGGGTTAGCACCCATGCTAAATGCCAAGCTTGACGTTAGCCGGCAATGCTAATGCTGCCTCACTCTTCCCACAGAGGGGGTAAGCTAGCTAACGTCATATTTGCTAGCCCGCTAGTTAGCTCAATGACTTGCCTTTGTCTTGCCGACAATAAAAGCGCAGTTCCTGCCGTTGCGTGACAGCTTTGTGTAGGTTAATATAGCCATGGGTAAATGTGTGCCATCAAGTTTGTGACATGCTGACAGGTATTTCCAAGGCCTGCACCGGCTTTAAACGGGGTCAGCGTACGCTTAAACAAAAAAAAAATCGACAGTCTAGATTGCACTACATTACAACGCTCATTGCTGCTAGCAAGCAATTTAAAACTACCTTAAACTAAAGCATTAGCATTAATTTAACTTGCTGTTTTCGAGTATTTTATGTTAAGTCACTTGTTGTGTCAAGTGTCAAATTACACAGGGGGGTGGCACCATTTGCATGTTTTTCCTGCAGGCGTAGCAAACTGGAGTCGGACCAATCCCCATACACATCTCCGAGTGTCATCACATCCTCCCAAGTTTACCAGATTGGGGGTGATGAAGGATGTTTGAGGTCACGCTTTCTCGACGGGTCAACGGGATGACACAGCTGTAACGTCACTGACTAATTTGTAGCTGTTGAAGCAGCTGTAGGATTGCACGTGCAGAGCATCAGGGCGCCTTACACTACCTGTGTGTTGTTCACCTGCTGAAGTTAAGATGCCTTGGCCTTTTTCTGAGTCCATTAAAAAGAGGGCCTGCAGGTACCTCCTGCATCGGTACCTGGGCAACTTTCTGCAGGAGAAGCTTAGTCTGGATCAACTCAGTCTAGACCTTTATCAAGGCACTGGGTCTCTTGCACAGGTTCCACTGGATACATGGGTATGTGTAGTGCATTGCTGAAAATACGCCAGATTAAATTATCAGTTAAATAAACCAAGAGGTCCTCTAATGTTTTTTTTTATTATTTTTTTTTAAAAATTTAAATTTTGTTCCTCAGTCACTCAATGAGCTACTGGAGACTGCAGATGCTCCTTTTGAGGTAATCACTGGGTTCATCCAGACCATCTCTCTGACAGTCCCTTGGGCAGCACTGCTGCAGGAGAACTGTGCCCTAGAAATCAAGGGTTTGGAGATGGTTCTCAGACCAAGACCAAGAGTGGGTAAGGATATATATATATATTTGTCCCTCTACAACACCTGAGAAAAAGCTTAAAATTAGTAAAAGTAAACAGTTTTATTTTATACATATGAGTAGACAAGTAAGGTATTCACTGCTGGTTATACTTCCAGCATCTGGCGTTGAACCCATGTACTGGTCCAGTTTCATGACAAGCAGCATGCAGCTTGCTAAAGAATGCCTGAGCCAGAAACTAACCGATGATATGGGAGAGAGCTTCCAGCCATTTGAAGGACTGGAGAAGTTTGCAGAGACAATAGAAACAGGTAAATTGCTTTTGTGTTTTTTGGCATTCAGCAGGTTTACCTCACAAATACTGTGTAAAGCAATGTCTTTTAAATTTCTTCTCTCACAGTTCTGCGAAGAGTCAAAGTGACATTTTTGGACAGTGTTTTTAGAGTCGAACACATTCCAGAAAATTCTAAAACTGGAATCGCTCTTGAGATTCGAATCAAAAAGTAAGTTTTTGACAGTCAGTGGCACCTCAGTTTCCACAATAAGATAATATACTTCAAATTGGTGTATATATGGTCAAAGATTTGAACACATTGAGCATGGGGAGGTACTGGTGCTGATGTTTAGTGAGAAGTTTGTATTTTAATACTTGAGCTCCCCTGACAAATACCGTCTCTCTTCAGGATTGTGTACTGCGATGAAACAGGTGAGGAGAGTTCAAGTGTCAATGTGCATCAGCCAACCACGTTTGCACATAAAAACGTGCAGATGGAGGGAATTACTGTATTCTGGGACGAGTTCTCTGATGCGTCTCGCGCTGCTTGTAAATCGTCACCTACTCCATCGGTTAGTGTAGCAAATTTCACATTGTAAGAGTTGTATATATGTATGTGGCCTTTTTAATCAAGTCTTTCTGTATTTTGCAGGAAACTGAGCCAAAACTCTCACCTAGCTGGAATCCAAAAATAATATGCGAGCCGCATCCCCAGTTCACAGAGCCTGTATCCTCTTCAGCGCCTTTTGAACCTGTGCAGGTTGGCAGCCTCTGTGGCAAAATTGAGTTGTCCCTCACTCTCAAAAATAACCTAGCGATGCCTGGTGCAAAGGTAAATTATCTATTTTTGAATCACAAAGATTTACGAGGAAAACAATTTCCCACGTTGTTTATCCAGTATCAGACTTTTGGGGTAATATTCACAAAATTTTGCCAACTTTTCTTCTCAGCTGGATGTTGTTGGACAGATCGATACACTGATTATTCTGCTTTCCCCACGGCAAGTTCACCTTCTTTTGGACTTATTTGGAGCCTTCTCTGGTGGAGGTGAGAACCACTCTCTTTCGAGATGATGGAGAACTTTGGGACCAGATGGGGTCTTACGGGGTTATTTAGAAATTGTGAATGTAAGTGTATTTCTAACTCTTCATTTAAGGTGCACAGGAATGGACTAAGGATAGGAAAAATCGCCCAATACAGCAGGAGGATGAGTATCGCCTCCATATGGAACTGAACCGGTGCCTAAAGAAGGATACTGCCGTCCCAGGAGCAGATCCTGACCTCTTTGAAAGCCAAACAACCAGAACTGTGTCGAGTCGAGGTTGAGTTGAAGCACCATCCTGTAATGTCTACATTTTCTTTGATTTTGGTGATTGATTAGCTCTTTTGATGAATATTTTTCTGTTTTTTTTGTTTTGTTTTGTTTTGTTTTGCTAATGTAGACGACGTGTTTTTCTCCATGGCTGACATGGACATGTCTCATAGCTTGTCATCCCTGCCTCCTCTGGGTGAACCACCCACTGTTGATTTGGACTTGTCACTCACCAGTAACTACTCTGCCTCACCAGGAGAATCTCCCTCTGGAAATGCAACAGTAAGCCTTCATTTGTGTGATCATGCTTACAGAAACGTTCAATATGGTTTAAATCAGGTGAGATTAAGGACTCTGAATGGTCTGGAAACTCAGTAGTTAGTGATCTCATACAGGAAAAATGAGTTATACAAATAAATATTTTGAATAGTAGTGTTTCATTTTCATCTGCGTTTTGTAGGCTCTGTGGGACGAATATATGGACGTACCACGACAAAGAGAGAAGCAGACTTGTGAAACTCCCCTCCAGTCACGGGATTCGCACCTGCCTCAGAAACTGTTGAGGCAAACTTGTAAGCACTACAGTAAATTAATAGATACATAAACATATATTATGCACTCACCCTCAGTTTATCCAGTGTGTGAAACGAACAGGTTATGTTCAATCAAAAGACTTATGCTGAAATATTCCCAAGATCAGTTCCCCCTTTGTGTTCATGTACATGGTTGTAGCTGGACATTATTTGCTGTTTGTGTTTCAGCCCATTCGTCCAAAACCCACAGTGATGAGTCAAGGCCAGAGTTAGTGCTGAGGTTGACACTGGGCAGTTTGGCTGTCTCAGTCCTCCACATTGACCCGCTGCCGCCACCACATGCTGCTCCCAGTCCTCTTGGCCCCATGGCTGCACACTTCTTCAGCATGGTGGGCCCAGGACAGCTTGAGCCAGCCGCTTTCCTTCAGTCTCGGGCGGTGTTTAATCAGGCTTGTCCTCATGACCACCTCAGGTGCACTTCTAATTTTAACTAATTCCTGTATTCTGAAGGAATGAGCATGTGAATGAATCAGATCACCTGAATCACCTGGGCTTATGTTTGCAGGTTTGTAGGCCAGGGTCTGAAGTTAAACTATGATCACTGGCAGGGATCCAACTTAAGGACTTTTAGCACTGACATTACCCTGAACCAGATGGAGTTTCTAGAGTGTCTGTTCACCTCTGAGGCTGTTATTGGTGGCTCGCAAAAAGGAGTTCAATATACTGAGGTGAGACCTTCAAGCCTAAGCTTCGTACATCTCTCACTGCATAACGCTTTGGATGTTTGAACACTGCGTATATGTATTTATACAGAACACTTGAAAGGTGCAGCTGTCTTGACATTAGTGTTTCACTTTAGTTTTTCTCTCACACCTCAGCTGCTGACATTTGACACCAAAGCCAGTGCTGATGCGCCGCTTACCACCTGCCTTCACCTGCTTTACAAACAGGCTGAGCGCAGAGGTCCTCAGGTAACTGCATCCGTTAGCTCAATATGAAACTACAACACTCTAACAATCAAATGCCGTTCCTCCACAATGAGTGTCTGGCCTCTACTTTTAACCCTTTGCCTCGCTGTGCAGGGCGGCCAGGTGCGTCTCAGCACCATTCCCAGGAAAGCTGAGATCCAGGTGGAGCTGGGTCCTGTGCACTCTGAGCTGGACATCAGTATTGTAGACCGCCTAAACTCACTACTGCAGCCTCAGAAACTAGCAACCACAGAGGCGATGGCCTCCCACATGTATACATCTTACAATAAACCTGTCAGCTTGGTAAGTGTGGTCCATCATGTAAGCCTATGCTTTTTGTGTATATGTTCTGACATTGAGGTTTTAGTGTAGGCACAAACTGCTTTTCTCCTACAAAAAACAAACAGTAAGTCAATACATAGAAAATTCACAATTCTTTGTACTTTGCATATATGAAAGTCATCTAATCTACATCTTTGGCTTTCTTCATAAATTTCACAGCACAAAGCTTTTACAGAGGTTTTCCTTGATGACAGCCATACTCCTGCCAACTGTCATGTGTC